CTCATTCCAATAAACTGGGTCACAACAAAAAGAACGGAAATCTTGAAAAGAGCCTTGAAACCAAAAAATCGTTCCATGTGGAAGAAAAAATTGGGAACTTCTTTCTTCATCTTTTTTTTCCCAAATCAGATGTGATAAGCACCTCAAAACTCTCATTTCTCTTTAGATGAAAAAGAAATTGCTGTTCTTGGTCTTCAAGCATTTTCCTACTGCTTGGCTGATCCTAAGCACAGCAGTCCTGAGCTGGTGGTGTGTGAGACCTTGAGAGCGAAATCTATCAGAGCATGCAGGAAGGGGAGCGACTCTGGGCAGGGGGCAGCCTGAGGAAATGTGAAAAGCAGCAAACACCTCAATGGGTGAGAAAGATGCTGCAGCCCCATAAGTGTGTTATAATGATGAGCAATGAGCTGTCACTAGCATCTTGATTAAACATGCTTAAGTTTTGTGATTTCACTTAAAACCTTACCAGAAATTCATCTCCCTTCAATTTCTGCATCTTGTAGGGGACAAAGAAAAATAATGTGGATGCTTACTAAACATTTATTTAGAGGACAAATGACATGGCCTGGCAGTTTATAAATGGATGGAACATTCTCTCCCCTCCACTGCCCCGCTCCCCCCAACATCACCCACAGGGAGGTGTGGAATACGTGATGCGTTTAGATGCAGAGGTGAAAATGGAAGCCCATTTATGGAGAAGCTCCCTGGAGTTTTGCAGAAAATCTTCTAGACTCTTTGAATTGCTTAAATTGAAAAATGGCTTTGTCTCTTCCTGTGTGCAAATATCTTTTGTTTTGTTTTATTTTTGAGGTTTTTTTAAAAACTATTTTAGTTGTCAATGGTTTATTTATTTATTTATTTATATGTGGTGCTGAGGATTGAACCCAGGGCCTCACACATGCCAGGCAAATGCTCTACCACTGAGCCACAACTCTAGCCCTGTGCAGGTGTCTTTAAGTGAAAGCATTCATGATAGCTATGTTCTGAAAGTTGTGATCAGACTACTCCAGACACAGCTCTGACCTCAATTAGCCCTGACATCACTTCTTCCTGCTCCATGATAGGCATCCCTGTAGAAGAAAGCCTTTTAATGGGACTAGCTGATGCAAAACCTGCATCTTCTAGATGCATCTTCTTTCCAGTGCAGGAAGGCAAAGTGGTAAACCACTGCTTCACAAAAGCATCTTCTTTGGTCCCTTGCAATGCAATGGGGAAATTACATAGTTTTATTTTCTGTCTGCCTTTGGCTTTATTTATAAGCTTTTGAGGTCTGAATGCAGAGGTTATTTGCATCCACCCATCTGAGTTTATCTTTGCGCAAACAATTTGCACTAATTCACTAAGCAGTGAATCCAAAAGTAAACACAATTATTTTAGAATTTTAACACAAAAAGCATTATTTCTACCTCATTAACAAAGAAGGGCTTGAAGAAAATACCCAAGCATGCTAATCATCAAGACTGGTGTGAAGAAGGGTAGACAGCAAATTCTTTGAAGGCAGGGCTTTTCCATAGTTACTTGTATGCAAAATGATCACCCACAGAGTAGGTGCCCCATGAGCAGCAGAACTCTTGATATGCACCAAAAGGAATTGAGGGTAAGGATCATTTGTATTCAGCAAAAGCAGTCAGGTAAATCCTCCTTCCTTGTTAGAGCTTCTCTAGTTCTCTCAGTAGAAATCAAAGTTGATGAGATAGGGTGTCATTATGAGTCTCTCTATAAGATTCTAGTCTCTCTCTCTCTCTCTCTCTCTCTCTCTCTCTCTCTCTCTCTCTTTTTCTCTGTCCTCCCTCCCTTTCACGCTCCTCCTTCCCTTCCTCACAACATTCGTTATTCTCAACAAACAGACCAACTCCTGGTGATATGTAGCATACAGCAACTAAAATGACAAAATCATTCACAAAATTATTATTACTTTTTTTTTTCAAAGTGGTTGCATTTCCACTTTTTGCTGCTTAAAACTTCATTCCACTTTCACCCTCCCTCTCTGAATGAACAGATCACTGCAGAAGAAAACAGAACCACTTTTCTTAATCTGGGACCTATGAAACTGAACACAATGCATTTCCACATTTGGGGAGCACAAAACCCACAGCTTTCGTTAGATTCTCAGAGATATTCAATCTCCAAAGGGATGAAAGCCTAACACGTGCATAGTAGGATAACTACTTTTTTTAAAAAAAATGTTGATATGTTGTTTAACTGTGATTTTCTTCATTTTACTTCAGAATCTGGCCTTGGATTTAAGTAAGAAAATTTAATTCAGTTTGAAGAATGGTCCTTTAAAAAACTGAAATGGTCATTTCTAATTCTTTTGGTAGCAAAATTAAAAAAAAAATGACAGTGACACTAGTTAGCAGTGTGTATGCATGTGCTCCTCTGATCCATTTAGCCTACATGCGTACAGTTCTCATGTGGACAGGATTGTTGCCAGCTGACAGAGTACAACCCTCCACCCCCATGCAAAGGAGCAAACTGAATTCCAAAACCCTATCCGCAGCCAACCAGTCGCTTTGAGGGAAAAGAGCCAATGAAGTAATTTGAGCTACCTTCTTGATCAATATCCACTGCCGAGGCTGAATTGATTAGGTTGGTGGGTCATTGTTTTTGTCGATGGCAAGAGCAAACAGGCTGGTTGATAAAACACAACTGTTACATTTCACATGTAAAAGACACCACCCTTGTGTACAACACATGTTTCTAAAGATCACACAGTTTCCATTCCTGTCTGTGTTCAGGCTGCATTGTCCTTCCAAAGCTCTCGAGGCCTTACAATAAAAAATTAAAAAAAAAAAAAAAAAAAAATCACCTCAAGTTCAAATTGATTTCTTCCAGAAAGCCTACTCTGATAGATCTACTCTCAGCTGTGATTACTGCATTATTCAACATCCCTTCAGTACAACTATGTTGTAAAAACTCAAAAAGACAATTATTTTAGACAGCTGAGTTTCCCTGTTAGTTGAGGGTGTAACAGTGGACCCTTCACCTTCTGAATATAATCCTCATTGCTCTAAGGTTTATTTAAAAAAAAAATTGTTTTTCTCTCTCTTCTCCCCTTTCTCCCTCTCTAACAAGATTAGGCAGACAGTGTTACCTTTTCTTCCCCTATTTAATTGCCCTTGAACACACTACAGGAATGAAATGCCTGCTGAGGATCTGGGAAGTGAATATTTCCCAAATTAACAAGGGAATCCTAACATGGCATCAGAACGCCCTGGGCCCCCCTACTAGAATGTAACCCTTGAAGAATTTCTTTAAAACTTCCCTGTCCCTCCAGATTGGGAGAGTCACAGATCTGAGACAGGAGCGCCCTGTGTTTCTCCTTTGCTATCAAAGCAATAAACTTCTTTTTCCCTTTTCTCAAAACTGCGTCCTCATTATTAAATTGGCATTAATTGGCATTGGGGACAGGGATGGAGCTTTTGGTTACAAGGGTATACATGTACAATGACTTAAAGTTTGTGTGTGTGTGTGTGTGTGTGTGTAAATAAATCATTACCCATTTTTCTGCCTTCCTAATCAGAGTTTATGAAACAGAACTTGACCTTCCTGATGGTGACGAGAGTCTTAGGCTGGGTTCCTCAGATATGTGGCATGAGGCAAAAGGTTATGTGCTATTATTCTATCAAAGGAGCTCAGTCCAGAGAAACAGAAGTGGGAGGCAGGGAAGGCAGGGACAGGAGAGGATGTTATTGACATCTCAGTCTGGCAGAACCATTTTCCATGAGTCAACATGGGCAACTATGTGTCAGAATTTTCCTTCTAGATACCAGCTGCCACTTCCCATCTCTACTGCCAACACTCCCCCACACAAACTTCTAGGTTGCAAATGGAGGTGTTATGCAGTGTTTGGGGCTCCAGGACCCACAGAAGTCTCAGGGCAGGTGGCATACATGGCGCAGGTGCCATAGAGGTGAGCCTACTGGAAGCACAGAGAGTGGTTCAAAACAAAGGGCCAAAAGCCCAGGCAGAAGAGGTCAGAAGGATATACAGAGGTGCCTAACAGGTGTCTCATACAGTGAGAGTGACTTTCAGAAATACGGGGATGTGCCCTGTGTTTTGCTGTACTATCTAATGAGGTATGAAGAGTGCTGATCTCAACTAAGTCACTATTTGACTCAGACTACTGCAGACAAGGAAATGTGGGGGACAGGGAATAGCAGGTTGGATATCAGGTACCCAAACACAATAAAAATAATAAGTGTAAAGCTATAGCTTACTCAAGAGAGTAAGTTCTAGTGTTCTACATAAGAGTGGAGGGACTATAGTTCACAATATATATTCATAAAATTGTTCAGAAACTATGCATATTTTATGAAGAACTAGAAGATAGGAGATGGAAGGCTTAAACACAAAGTAATGATAAGGAGATGGAAAAGTCAATTAACTTGATCAGTATATTGTATGTACTGAAATATCATACTGTACTTATGTGCTGAATTGTACATACATAAAGAACAGCATCTGGTGCATAGTAAGTTCTCGATACACAGAAACTAAAATGATAGTGTTATAGGAATCATAAAAAATAACAAATGGAGTATTAGAATTTAGAATATTGTTATTCTAAAATAAGATGTAGACTTACACTTAGCTTTTTAGACTTTTGTGTTTTCAAGAGCAAAAAGATTCTAAATGAGCACCTGAAGGAAATCACCTGTGAGCAAATGTTTTGCCTATTTATATGCAAGGCAGTGTCAGCTCATAGTTACCCAGGGTAATACAGGAGGTGGGGACACAGGCAGGTGCTGGTGACAATAGAAAGAGGCCTCCAGTAATCATTCCTTCTTCTAACAACCTGGACCTACAGTTTCAATACAGCTGGTAGTAGGTGCAGGTAATAATGAGGAAAGACACACAGGGCACAAGAATACATATGCATATTTGCATATTAAATAGAGCTCTTTACAGTTTTAAAAATCTCTCCCTGCCTGGGCACATGTATTAGGAGGCATTTCTTATTTCTGTTCCTTTTTCTTTGGAAACACTTGACCTTTAGAATCCAAAAATCCCTTCACCACCACTTGGGATTCTGACTCTTTAGCACCCTGTTCTTGCCCTTAAGTTTGGTTATTACAGTTACATGGGATGTGTTGCTCTCAATCCATTAGAGCAAATATATTGACTGGAGGTAAGTGAAATTTTTCATTATCACAAATATCCAACTTCTTAGTTGGGCAGAATTTGAAAGTGTGTGTGTGTGTGTGTGTGTGTGTGTATGCACATGTGTGCATGGGAGAAGGAGGAAGGGAGAGAGAGAGAGGGAGAGAGGGAGAGATGGGGGAGAGAGATATAAATAAATAGGCTTTCAAATTCTGTCCAACTAAGAACTATATTTTTTCTCTAAATCTCTTGATAGTAATTATTTTTGTCTTCTTTGACGTGGAAGACAGACCAGAGTAGGCTTAAAAGAGAAAGCCATGACCTATACACATCAGTTGAGTCCATGAGCATATTCTGACAAATCACATTATTTCAGCATGGATTCCTGTTATCTGTGTGACAGATTTGTTATTGTTTTATAGGAAAATAGGCAATGTGCAAAGTAAGTCACTTGTACAGGGAGCCAGTCCAAAGCCAATTTCTGACAAGGATTATCCTTAGCTGGTAAGTTGACAGCGATTTCTTTGGTTTCTTGTTCAGTGGAAATTTGTCCCTTTCAATCTTTGTAATTTTAGTATTTTAGACTAAGAATTTGACTCTTAGAACATCTTTTGCAATGAGGTGATCCTTCTCCAGGAAGGGAATTCACCTAAGTTCCCTTTGACTTTTTAAAAAAAAATTTGTTTTATTGGTTCTTCTTGTTATACATGACAGTTAATTTTTTAAAAATTTCTGAACTGTGAAAGCATTTCTTTAATAAAAGCAGGGAGGGAAGAAGGTGAACTTTCCATTCTCAAGTCTGAATCACATCAAACATCTAGACAGTGGTCCTCCATTAGGAGCCATCTGCCTCCTACCAGCATGACTTTGGACATTCTCTGCAGGTTGGTCACCCCCAGTGGCATCTTACAACTTGTCTGGGCAGCTCAACAGTTCCTGCTGTCAACCTAGGCTATCTAAGGCCGTCAGGCCAGGTGTCTGGGCATCTACTCACTGTCCCTCTCACCACTGGTGGTAAAAGTTCAATGATTCCTGTTGACAATGACAATAAAAATGATAGGTTGTAAAGAAATAAACCAAACAAGAAACATGTAAGACCTAGAGGACTGTAAACAATTAGTAAAATAGATAAAAGAGGTCTTGACAGAGGGATGGATTTGTTCCTAAAGGAAAATAGTGAGAGGGTCTTCTCCTGCCAGTTCCAAAGGACCAACTTCCAATGCAGACTTCTTCAAGGACCTCCAACCTCATCTCCTGGTGGTGAGTTCCCTCAGCTCCTAATAGAATCATCCACCACATTATCACTTTCATATGTAGACTTGGAGGTCTCTGGCTATTTCCTAAGTGTGCACCTCTTCTTCCCAATTAAATTATAAGATTCGTAAAGGCAGGGACTATCTCTTTTTTTCCACTTTGTACCTTCCATACTCCTTAGTACAGAAATGCCTCTACTTTTAAGCTTTCCATATAAAGAAGTTCTCAGGTATGAAAAAACAAGGTAGACAGAGGCATCCACGCTGCCCTGGAACAGCAGATGAAATGAGCAGCCATAAGCAATTATCCAGCCATACACTGTTGGTTAGTCGGGGCTGAATAGCTGGGCTTACATAAAGACAAAGATATCCTATGAACATCAGCCACATCATCAGTTCAAAAAGTATAAAAGTAGCAAGTGTCTGTAACACTGCTAAAAAGAGGGGCATGATGAAGATGGAAAGAAAAGGAAAAATAGTTTTCCGAAATTGAAAGGCATGAAGGAATGCCAAGTGTTCCAGGGTGCACAGCAGGAAGAATTCTGAAGGTCAGAGAGCAAGTAATGATCAAAAGGGAAGGAACAGGAATTGACCAAATGAAAAGGGCAACCTTTTGAGGTTGCCGCTAAATGTTAGCAGCAATGAGTGATATCTGTTGGCTTAAACTTTGTTGATTCTGGTGAAGGCCACCAGTTTACTAGGGAACTTAAGACTAAGCAAGCATGGTGAAAGGGCTGTGGTGACATATTTGCTATAGGCCAAGGACAGTTCTATGGGCTCAGAGTTGCTGGATTCAGGGCTCAACCACATCAGCAGAGCATCAAATGCTTGGTGAGGTGGCAGTGAGGGTACTCTAGCTATCAGAGGTCACGATGAAGAGAAATATTCAACAGAATGGAAGGACAAGTACTTCTAGTCTTAAAACTTTGATGGGATCATTCAGTTTTCACTTATGGAAATGCATCTAGGAACTGATAGTTTAAATTTAGTCACTTTGGACTTATTTTTTTAAAGGGGCCTATGAATAACCTTGGAGAATCTAAACTCTTCATGAGTGGAACAGCTCCTATTAGGAGATAGGAATTTGCCACCAGGAGGGTGGAGATCCTTTTAATATACATCTCCTTGGTATTTTCATATATTTTAACTAACTTATTCTCCCAGTCATTTTGTAAGGTAAATATTATCACTTGACATCACCATTTTATTGTTGTGGAAATAGACTCTCAGAGAGAGAAGAGCAAGAATGGGATCTTCTGATTCCACAACCATATTTTATCTCTGCATAGCTGCCTCTGTGTGTTGATCAACTGCATAAAGCAATAATCCAGCGCTAACCTAGGTTATGATTCTGCCCGTACTTCTCACAGTTAAAAAAATATATATGGCTTGGTTTTTGAGTCCATATCTGTTACCTTATAAAATGTTCTCACAAAGGCTCACTGTATGTTTTTCTTCTGACCTTCAGAATACCTCCAGGGACACAGAAGGGCCACATGGCATCAAGCAGCACTTTCTAAAGTGGTTTCAATGAATATATAACAAAGCCAAACAGTGCCCTCCCAGAAGGCGGCTTTTCAACACGCATCCTGCTGCAAATCACAAAGCATCTCCTAGTGTGGCTTCTCCGTTGAGGCCCTTTCTTGTCTCTGGACATTCTTTGTACCAATAAAGAATAAAGGACATGGCTGAGAGTTCCACCCAGGGTTAAATTTCTCCAATGCTCTTGTGGAAATTGTGCCAATAACAAAATTTCATATCTCTCCATCTAATCATCCCTTGACACATTCAATTGGATATAACATGCAAAGATGGAGACTGAGGAATTAGAATAAATTATGTCAGAGGAAAAGCTCCTGATAGCTCTGACAGGACAGCGTGCACAGAACTCATCTAAACATTTGTTTTGGGTAATGGAACAGCTATCAACAAATTCATTACCTAAGGCAATATTTTCACTTCAACTGTAGGTGACAAAGGGTCTCCACAATACATGGCTGTCAGCAGTTTGCATCAGTAAGAGAGAAAATGTACATAAATTTCACAAATATGTATGAATCCCACTCTTTCAATTTTAAAAAGAGACCCAGAGTCATTTAATATTTTTATAAAATTGCTGTCACAAGGATATAAACCTCATAAATCATTTCTTGGCAAGAACTACAAGTTGGGCAGCAAAATGATGGATTTGCTTCTGGTGAGCCAGCCCATTTCTTACTTTAGATATATACATTTGTGGCTACAAATGCCTCTTTTTTAACTTCTTCCTTTACTATTCTCTTTCTAACTTAGTATCAGCTGGGTTCTTTAGAAAAGGGGTCTTTAAACAGAGCAAACAAGCATCAGAGTGGCTATTATTGTCTATGAGGGAATATATTCCAGCTCAGAGCTGGAGAAAGTAAAAATAAGAAATCCATAAAAATCTCTCAACTGTTAATGTACCTACCTAGACCAGGTTATATGACCACTCTACCTTCTTCCAACAATAGCAGAGTTTGTACTTACTCTCAGGCTCTTTTCTGTGGAGTCTCATTGGATACTATAAGAAAGTTTGGGCCCAGGGTAGAAGACCAGGACTTCCTCTGCTGCCTAGACCTGAAGGAGATGATCAGCTGCTGCTGGAGGACCAGCACAAAGCTTGGCCTTCTTCCTTGGACCATCTTTCGAAATGCAAAAGTTGTGAGCTTTGGGGGGAGGACAAAACATCTGGGCCCTAGGACAAGGCAAAAGTCTATTGTTTCTGAAAAAGGAATAGAAGTAAGCCAAGTGTGGAATAAAGGACAGAAAATTCTTGTACCCCAGACAGGCAAAGAGCCACTGTTGTTAAAGAAGGATTAGACGCAAAAACCTTCCTTAGGAAATATGTTTGTGCCTAGGATCCTGCACTGACACAAAACAGAGTTCTTCTACTGCTGGGGAGAGACAGGAAGGCTGGGAACACACATGAAGCTTGCCTAAGACTCCTACTGGACCAGGACACAAAGAAACCTCAGACTCATAATAAGCCACATACAAAGAAACAAGATGCAGAATTCATCTTGGGTGTAGGAGCGAGAGCATAGAGAGTCACTTTGTGGTACAGGTGTGTAGTGATAGCTGAAAGCTGAAGGTTGAATCCTTAGAAAATTTTTCTGGCATCCCAAGCTCTAAGCACATGGTAAGAGCATTTATCTAGGGCTGGGGCTGGGGCTCAGTGGTAGAGCATTTGCCTAGCATGGGTTCAATCCTCAGCACCACATAAAAATACATAAATAAAATAAAGGTATTATGTCCATTTACAACTAAAAAAAAAAATTTAAAAAGTACTCATCTACTAAAGTCTCTGATGCACTAAAGGTAACAAGAGCAACAACTAAATCTAAACTCAACTAAACTTATTTTTAAATTTTTTTTTATTTTTTTAATACATGTTAGTGGAATGTATTATAATTCTTATTACACATATAGAGCACAGTTTTTCATATCTTTGTATACAGTATGTTCATGCCAATTCATGAATTCATGTCTTTGTATATGTACTTGTGTGGGTTTTTTTTTGCATTACTATTCTTATTACACATATATACCGCAATCTTTCATATCTCTGTTTGTATATAAAGTAGGTTGACACCCAATTCGTGTTTTCTTACCTGTACTTTGGATATTGATGTCCATTACATTCCACCATCCTTGCTAATCCCCTGTCTCCTCCCTTTCCCTCCATTCCCTTTTCCCTATCTAGAATTTATCTATTCGTCTCATGTTCTCCCTCCCTATCCCACTGTGAGTCAGCCTCCTTATATCAGAAAAAAAATGAACAGATAAAAAAAATGGCATATATACACAATGGAATTTTACTCAGCAATAAAAGGGAACAAAATCATGGCATTTGCGGGTAAATGGATGGCATTGGAGAAGATAATGCTAAGTGAAGTTAGCCAATCCCAAAAGAACAAATGCTGAATATAAACTCAACTAAACTTCTAATAAATCGATTCAACCCACATTCCCTGCCATCTTCCCCCACACTAATGGCCTGAAAAAAAGAAAGGTGCCCATTCCCAAGCATAAATGTTATTTACCTTAGTCTCTTTCTTCTTCTAGATATAATGTCCAGAATTTGATAAAAAGTAATCATTCACAGGAAAATGCAGGTGGGGGGGACTTCAAAAACAATTGTGAAGAGATAAAACAATCAATAGCACCAGATTCAAAGATGGCTCAGATATTACAAGTATCAGATAGGACTTTAAAGTAACTATTATTAACATATTAAAAGGATTTAATGGTAAAAGTGAATAACATATGTAAGCAGATAAATTTTATTACAGTGTCAAATGTAAACCTTATGAATAAAAAACAATATCAGAGATGAACTCACTGACAGACCAGACATAGCTGGAGAAAGAATTGATGAACTTGAAGATATGTAATGGAAATTATGTAAATCAAAACATAAAGATAGAAGGGAGTGAATAAAACAATATATATGTGGGACAATATCAGATGGTATAATGTGTATGTAATTAGTGCCCTAGAAGAGAGAAAATAAGGCAAAAGATGAAAAAGAAAATAGCTAGGACTTTTCCAAAATTAGTAAAAGATAAGTTGCAGATCTAACCATCTTGATTAATCCCAACTAGGAAAACTCCCTCACCATCAGCCCCCCAAATGAACGTAAACACAATCAAATTACTGAAAAACAAAGATAAAGGAAATATTTTGAAAAGAGTGAGAAAAAAGAAACATTACATGTAATGGGATAACCATAAGAATCACAACAGATTTCCCAGAAGCTATGCAAAGCAAAACATAAGGTCTTGACATCTTTAGGATGCTGAAAGAAAAAAAAAAAAACCTGCCAACCCAGAATTTTACCTCTGGTAAAAATACTTCTCAAAATTGAAGGTTAGCATCTGAGTTGTAGCTCAGTGGTAGAGTGCTTGCCTGGCATGTGTGAGGCCCAGAGTTTGATCCCCAGCACTGCATATAAGTAAATAAATAAAACAAAGGCCCATCAACAACTAAAAAAAATGTTTGAAGAAAATAGGTAAAATAAAGACCTTCAGATGAACAAAAGCTGAAAATTTATTACTGATGAACCCTTGCTTTAAGAAATGATAAAAGAAGTTCCTTGGGAAGAGAAAGAGCTCAAATGAAAATTAGAACACACACACACACACACACAAATAAAGGTAGGTAAAAATTAAAGGAAGGTAAATACTAAATATATTTTTCTTTTTTAATCAATTTTCAATAGTATATAGAACATGAATATTATTGTTAAAAAAACTACCATGATACATTTTAAAAACTTCCGAGTATATAATAAAAATTTAACTAATTTTTTTTGAAGTGGAAAGATTGCAAATTATTTTATTTTAATCTTTATGCTTATTTGCATTTCTAAATTGTCTGCAGTGAATCTATATTACATTTTGTGCTAAAATAGTATTTTATTCTTAAGTTACATTTATAATGTTCAGATTTTCAAGAGTTCTAAGCTTACATAAAGCTTATAAAAGATTGCCTTACTCCCCGCCCCAATATATAATAAAAAATAAGAATAATAGGGCAAAAAGAGAGGCTTTTTTTCTGACTCATATGTCGATGACAATATATCTAACTTAGGCAATAAATAATGATTAAATTAAAGCCTCATAGATGTTGTTTATATTTTACTAACTGAAGGCCTGAAGCTAAAGCCATGTTCATGCCAAGAAAATATTCAGGATAAATTAGAATACTATTCCTTAGGTCTAGAAAGAGAGTCAAGACTTGATAGCTAAATATTAGTGAGAATGGTATCTATTTGTACCAAAATATCTTTTGCAAAATTTAACCTTGTTTTAACTTCTATAAATATTTACATTTTACATTAAAACTAGCTATGTATTCTTTCCAGCTTTGATTGTAAAGTGGTATTTTACTAGAGAAAGAATAATTTATAGCAAAAAAAACATGGAAGAAAAGAAAAAAAATTACAGCAAACATGTGCTAGTCTTCTTTTGATTTATTTAATGAAGGCAACTAGGAGCCAGAATATTAGAAATTCAAGTCCAGAATCCAGGTACCATCTGCAAGGATTATTGCAAGGATCAGAGATAATGTGTGCAAAGACAAAACATGAGTACACAGTAAGCTACTGGAGTGCACCCAGGATGCTTGAAGATAACCTTTACCGCTACCAACAATGAAGCTAAGATAATACTTTACAAACAGCAGTTCCAGAATTCACGGGCCCTATTGATTTATGTTTTCCATACTTCTGACAAGTACTTGGGTTCCAGAAATTTGAGAAGTTGTCTTTTCATTTTGCCAGGGAAATTTCTTGCCCAAAGAAATGGATGGCCCATGTGGAGAAATAAAAATGACTGCTAATGCAGTTGATATATCTTCCCACCCACACACAGAGAAATTCTCCTAATGTTCCAGTAGGAAAAGTACCTTCCACAGAGGCAAACAAGTAACAGTTTGACTTGGAAATTTTTTAAAAGCTAAAACAACTGTTGAATTATTTGCCATCCTGATTTCTCCCCCACCCAAATTTTTAACCACTAAAAGGGAAATTTTGGTGTCAGTGCTGCAACCTCAATACTAAATGATCTCTGTCCTGCATCCAGAGTATAATTCAGCTGTTTGACTACAGTAGTCAAAACCTCCTTAAAAGGCCAAAAGCTTAATAGAAACATTGAACAATGTTTTACCTCTTTCATTTACT